TAAATACGTATGGGATCAGGGATTCCCATTGTCTTAGGTCAAGAGGAAATCAGATAGGGTCTTCCGAATAATTTCCAGGAATTTCAAAACAGTTTTTATAAGTAAAAGTACAGCTGAGAAAAACCTGCTAATACCAGCCCCGACTGTTAAACAGTCAAAGTGAAAAATAGAGCATAGAAGCCCCAATCTAGAAATGAAATTTTTTTCTTTTCCGTTGAAGTGAGAGCTATGTTGAAGAAGATAATAGTTCAACTCCTTATCGAAAAATATAACACGTTAAGCATATTAGAATAGCTTTCTACAAGTATTTTGAGAGTATTCCCTTTAGAAGTATTTTAAAACATAATCGAGAGCAAATAAATCCATACCTCAACTATTCGGAAAACTGTTAAATAACACCACTAACTTAAAGGCTTTTTAGCCAATTGAGTTTAAGATAGTCAAACAGATTAAGACTGCGATCATAAGTGTTTTTTGAAGGCTTTTCCTAATCATAAAAACGTTTTGTAATCATTGATATACGCACATAAATAATCCCACACATATTTCGCATCAATGCAAATTACACTGCATTTTCGAAATTTGAAATTTCCGCTCATAACGGCATTCGTCTATAAATAATTATTTCAATAAATTCTAAGAAATGCATTGTTGTCGCCTTATCTGCTAGGAAAGTGCATCCCAGTGCACCACTGGAGAAATTCATAACGTTTTCATATAAAACTTTAAATATGTGTGTATGTACACGTGAGGCATGATACAACGACGAGTCTAGATGAATTAATTTCTAGACACGATCAATGACACTGTCAGTTAGCATTGAGTGATAAGTGGAATTGATTGTTTGCATGTAAAGAAATAATTAGAGAAACACAAAATCGTAATTGCAACCGCACTAAACGGCTGTTTTCAATATATTTGCGCATTTCAGTACTCACCAATTGGTGGAGCTCCTTGAAGCAGGAGTAGATGCTTTGGCTGCTCAGATCTTCAGCTTCGCTTACGCTGCAGTTGCCTTCAAAACATCGGGGCGTGAACACGCCGGGACCTGCGCAAATAAAGACCACACATGGCGAAGGGCAGATATTACATATCGCTACTGGAGCTTACCATAACTGCGCCTGGAAGTGCGCCCGGTTCTCTGTACGCCGCTCGATGTGCTAGAACGCTCGCCCCGAACACAGGCACAGC